TCCCCTCAACCTCTCTATCGGTCATGTCTCTGCTTAGGAGATCCCCTCAACTCTCTACGGTCATGTCTCTGCTTTAGAAGATCCCCTCAACCTCTCTATGGGTCATGTCTCTGCTTTAGGAGATCCCCTCAACCTCTCTATCGGTCATGTCTCTGCTTTAGGAGATCCCCTCAACCTCTCTAGACTGAAACACATTTCAACCTCCCTAACTATAACAACATCCTACGAGTAAAGACATGCTCTCTCCCTCCCTCATCATCCCCAATTACAACCACACACCCCCTCAAAACATCTCAAAGATAAGATAGGATACGCCTCTGTCGAACAGGGCCTAGGTTTAAGCCTGTGGTTAGGGGTCAAAGGTCAGATTTTCGGGTTCAGGGTTTGGTCCCGACTGTGGGGTGGGGTGGGGGGGGGGATTAATGACCCTGGATGAGTCTCAAATGGCACCCTATTCCCTATATAGCGGACTACTTTAGACCAGGACCCAATCGTGCTCTGGTCAAGAGTAGTGCGCTATTTAGAGTAGGGGTCATTTGGGACACATCCCATGCTGTGGTCCTGTTTGACCACAGCGCCTGGCCCTAGCCCGGTGGTCTACTTGGCCTTGGTTTTTCTCCTCGTAGGTTCCGGCGTTCTTGTAGGAGCCGACGTATCCCGTGTTCTCCACCAGCTCCTCCCGCCCCCCTTTGCCCCGCCCCTTCCCACTCTCGTCGAAGCGCTCTTTGTGGGAGGCCCGTGTACTTGCTGGTGTCCGTCAGTCTGTCCACTGCGGCCGTCTTCGCCACTTTCTGCGGAGGGGGACGGAAATTTGAAGGAACCACGTTGCCCATGTTGGTGAGCGGAACCAGTACAGTTCTGTTTTAACGGTATAATGCTGCTGTAGGTTCTCTTGACAAACTGGGAAACTTCCCACTCCGACTGTGTGGGGGTTTAAAGAAAGTCCTTAAATTCCCTAGAATCTGAATGTAGTGCAGTGCACAGGAGTAAACAGCCGGAGCTAGATGTAAACGTTCCCTAAAAAAGGGATTATTTAAACTAAATAATACAGCCAACACCCACTCTTAGATAAAGAGGTTGAACTCATGTTCAATTCACAGCATGAGAACAGCCTGCCAGTATTAACAAATAATGGTGTTGGAGAAAACCCTCAGGTAAGACACGCACGCACACAAAACACACCACCCCACACACACACACACACACACGAAACCCCACACACCAAACACACACACCACAGACACACACAAACACACACACACCAGACACACCACACACGCGACACAGACACACACGCACGCACACACACACACACACCCCACGACACAACACACAACACACACGACACAGACACACCCCACACGCACCACACAGCACACCACACACAGACACCACAAACACACACACACCATACACACACACACCACACCAACACACCCCCACTCACACACACACACACCACACATACCACACAACGACACACCACACACAACACAACACACACCACACACACACACACAACACACAACCCCACACAACACCAACAACCACAGACCACACACACACACACACCTCACCGATGAAGCCAGTCTCATTATGGCTCTTATGTGATGAGAGTGAGTTGGTTTCAGAGCGAGAGACCCTTGAGACCGGTTTGGATGGGAGCTGAGAGTTGGTTCAAGCGAGACAGAGCATTGAGCCGGTTTGGATAGGAGAGCTGAGATTTGGTTCAGAGGAGACAGAGCATTGAGCCGGTTTGGATAGGAGAGCTGGAGTTGGTTCAGAAGCGAGACAATGCATTGATCCGGTTTGATAGGAGAGCTGAGAGTTGTTAGAAGCGAGACAGAGCATTGAGACGGTTTGGAAAGGAGGCGAGAGAGATGTTCAGAGCGAGACAGCGCATTGAACGGTTTGGAGAGAGGAGCGTGAGCAAAATCACTGCATTCATCAGGCACGTCTAAACAACCTCCTTGAGTTCAGAATAGACTGATTAAACACTCTGTACCTACTTATCCTCCTCCACAACTGTCCTATCTACCCTCACTTGACAGTAGAGTACTTCGCATGCCTATCCCAAATTAATTTATGTCAATGGGTCTGCCACACACTTGAAGCGTGATTCAGAACAAGGCTTGTTATTTAGCTGGCTAACAGATATAAAGACAGTTGATTAGTTCATCCTAGCTCTGACGACGGTGTTATCAAAAGTTGGTGCATGGAGTAGTATAGTAGAGTAGTAGTAGGAGTCTTAGTCGCATATTAGTTGTTTGGATTATAGTCGTAGTAGTATTAATTAATAATATTAGTCGTGTAGTATTGTCGTAGTAGTAATAGTAGTATTATTTGTCTAGTGCTAATCATAGTATCAGTAGTAGTAATAGTAGTAATATTATTCGTAGTCGTAGTAATATAGTACTATAGTAGTAGTCAGTAGTCGTAGTGTGTTATAGTAGTTAGCAGTTTCGTAGTAGTCGTAGCAGTAGTCTAGTAGTAGTGTGTAATAGTAGTAGTAGTAGTAGTAGTAGTGTAGTAGTAGTAAGCAGTAGTCAATAGCACGGTAGTAGAGTAGTTAGTAGTCGTAGCGTAGTAGCAGTAGTAGTAGTAGTAGTAGTAGTAGCAGTAGTCGTATAATCGTAGTTAGTAGTCTTAGTCGTAGCGTAATAGTAGTCTTAGTCGTCGTTAGTAGCTAGTAGAGTAGTAGTAGCAGTAGTAGTCATACTAGTATTAGTAGTTAGTAGTTAGCAGTAATTCGTAGTAGTAGTAGTAGTCGTAGTAGTAGTAGTAGTAGTAGTGTAGTAATAGTATTCATATAGTTAATAATAGTATTAGTAGTAGTATAGTAGTAGTAGATTCGCATAATCGTAATAATCGAGTAGTCAGTAGTGTAGCAGAATAGTTAGTTAGTAGTCGTGTTAGCCGTAATGAGTAGTAGTATAGTAGTAGTAGTAGTCGCCGTAGTAGTCTAATAATATTAGTAGTGTAGTAGTAGCTTAATAGAGTAGTAGTAGTAGTAGTGTAGTAATAGTAGAATAGTGAGTAGAGTAGTAGTTTCGTTAATAGTATTTACTAGTAGTAGTTAGTAGTAGACAGTAGTAGTCTTATAGTAGTCGTAGCAGAGTAGTAATAATAGTAGTAGCAGTATAATAGATGTAGTTAATAATAGTAGAGTTAGCCGTAATAGTAGTAGTAGTAGTAGTAGTGTAGTAGTCGTAGTAGCAGTAGTAGTAATTACTAGTAGTAGTAGTGTAGTAGCAGTAATAGTAGTAGTAGTAGTAGTAGTTAGTCAATAATAGTAGTAGTATTAGTAGTAGCCGTAATAGTAGTAGTATTAGTAGTAGTAGCCGTAGTAATATAGTAGTAGTAGTAGTAGTAGCAGTAATAGTAGTAGTCGTCAGCAGTAGCATTATAGTAGTCTAGTTAGTATCGTAGTAGTAGTAGCCGTAGTAGTTAGTGTAGGTACGTTAATAGTCGTAGTAGTAGTAATCGTAGTATAGTCCTTAGTAGTTAGTAGTCGTATAATCGTAGTAATAATAGTAGTAGTCGTAGGTAGCAGAATGTAGAGTTATTAGTAGTAGTTAGAGCAGTAGTAGTAATACTAGTAGTAGCAGTTAATAGTAGTCGTTAGTAGTAGTAGTAGTAGTAGTAGAGTAGTAGCAGTAGTAGTAATACTAGTAAGTAGTAGTAGTAGTAGCAGTAAATAGTCGTGTAGTCGTAGTAGAGGAGTCGTGTAGTAGCCCGTAGTAGTAATAATATTAGTGTTAGTAGTATAGCCGTAATCAGTAGTTAGTAGTAGTAGTAGTAGTAGTAGCAGTTATAATAGTAGTAGTAGTAGTAGTAGCAGGTAATAGTAGTAGTATTACAGCAGTAGCAGTAGTAGTAGTAGTAGTAGTAGTAGTAGCATAGAGTAGTAGTAGTAGTAATAGTAGTAGTAGTAGTAGTGTAGAGCAGTAGTAGTATATAATAGTTAGTCGTCGAGTATTAGCAGTAATAGTAGTAGTAGTAGTAGTAGAGTCTTAGTAGTAACCATTCGTAGTAGTAGTATTAGTAGTAGCAGTAGTGATATTAGTAGTAGTCGTAGTAGTATAGTAGTAGTCGTAGTAGTGTAGTAAATAGTAGTAGTCGTAGTAGTAGTAGTAGTATTAGTATGTATTATATCTCTCGTTACGTGACTCCTACGTTAGTGGGCTCCTTGCCCTCTATAGTTGTAGGCCAGACGTTAGGGCCTCCTCTTTGCTCTGCCCTTAAACTCTTAGGGGCCGCTCCTCCCGGGCTCTTGAATTCCTCGTAGGTGATCACCCGCGACGTCTCGCTCTGCACCGGCAGAAAACAACAGCCGTTCCACAACATGATCTTAAAGTGGATTAAACTCTATTACTACAGTCAGAAACAACAGCCGTCCACAACACTGTCTGAAGTGGATTTACACCTACTACAGTCAGAACAACACAGCCGTTCCACAAAAACTGATCTGAAGTGGATTTACTCAAGTATGATTCCGTACCGTTATAACGTATTCTCCAATAATCTCCATCATCAATATACATGGGCCAATTGCAACCAACATTGGCCACTATATTATCGCCAGCTGATCTGTCTTAAATCATGGGCCAGTTCATTTTGTATGGCCCAGTGCCGCGAGTGGGTGGAGATTTCACTTAAGGACCAATGCACTGCGGCGACAAATGTGCAAAACTCCGCCCCTCACCGGGGGCACTGGGCCACATACTACAAAACAAACTCGCAGATGTAGTTTAATAGAGAGATCAGCTGCCGGTCCTGATAAGATAGTGGCCCAAATGTCGGTTTGCCAATGGGCCCCTAAATAAGAATCATCAGATCATCATCATAATAGAGTAATGTATTACATCGTTGTTATGTTGTAGCGGTTGTTATTGAAACTCACTTGACTTTAGTGAAGACGTTATCCACGTCAGTGCCGGTGACGTTCTTCCCGTCGATGATCTTGCAGTCATACAACCGCTGGCCCCAGTTCTTCCCGTTCATCTCCTCCCTGTAGCCTTGGTGGTCTCCTGGATCGCCAAACGTCTTAAAGGAGTCATCAGATGCTCCAGGTCTGTGCTATCCGCCATCCTTGACAGAAATCTACAAAAATAGACAACAGGGGGCACTCAGCCATAAATGACTGCTGCACTTTGCTGACAGGTAAAAGCCGTCATTCAAAACAAAAACGCAGGTGAATTAAAGCTGATGAATTACAAAACAGGGGACAACAAGACTTTATTAATTGTTTTTTTTTTTTTGCATAGTATAGTATGTCTTTGAATGGCATATGAAATGCATGCTTGATCATATACCTTGTCAACTACTAAACAACATGTCAAAGTTGACTTGACTGATTCATTGTGTTAGTTTGTACTACTCATAACGTCTGTCTCTGCTCCAGATGACCCCTCGGGACTGTAAAAGATATCAAAGTCCTCTAACTTGACTCTATTTGACCTCTCCGATCCTTTCCTCAGGGTTCTGGGTTCACACATCTGTGGAAGGATTCCTTTTATAAAGAGAGGAGAGAGGAGGGGGGAAGAGGAGAGAGGGAATAGAGGAGGAGGGAGCGAGGAGAGGGAAGATGAGGAGTGGAAGAGGAGGAGTAAGAGGAGAGGAGGGAAGAGGAGGAAGTGGAAAAGAGGAGGAGGAAGAGGAGGAGGGGAAGAGGGAGGAAGGGAAAAGAGGAGGAGGAGGAGAAGAGGAGGAGGGAAGAGGAGGAGGGAAGAGGATGAGAGGTGAAGAGGAGAGGGAACGAGGAGGAGGTGAAGTAGGAGGAGGAAGAGGAGGAGGGAAGAAGAGAGGGAGGAGGAGGAGGAGAGAGGGTATAGATGGAGCGAGGGAGAGAAGGACGGAGGGAAGAGTGAGGAGGAAGGAGGAGAGAAGAGGAGGAGGGAAGAGGAGGAGGGAAGAAGAGAGAGGGAAGAGGAGGAGGGAAGAGGAGGAGGGAAGAGGGGAGGAGAGAGCGAGAGGGAAGAAGCCTAAGTGGGGTTGTGTGGGGAGAGATGAGAGGGAAGAAGGAAGAGGTCAAGAAGACGAGGACTAATCGATAAAGAGAGAGGATGACTATCGAGGAAAGAAGACAGAAGGAGCTCTACTGTCAAGCAGAAGAGTGAAAGAAGCAGAGGCATAGATGAATATTAAAGCTACGCCTAAGGAAAAAACGTGACTAGTTGAAGAAGAGAGAACGGAATGGAGAGAGAGAGAGAAGGAATTCGGCAATAGGGCATCGCGCTTCACGAGGACATCGGTCTAGTGCGGCCGACGCGCGGGCGACCGCGCGCGCGCTCTGTGCGGACGCTTGGACCCGGCCTGTGCGATCTCACACTGCACGCGGCTCCCGCTGGAGATGCGCACAGCCCCGGTGCGGCGCTCGCCTGCCGCGACGGTTGACGAGCGGACGAGAGAGCCCCGCACTGTCACGGCGACGGACACGGCAGGGGGACCGACTTCCGGCATTTTATTTTGCGCCTGGCAGACGAGCCGCGGGGCGGCGCGCGGCGCTGGCGCAGGAGACGGCCCATGAGACTTCTAACGCGTGACACTATATCTGGCGAGGCGACGCAGGTGGCAGAGCGGAGCCTCTTTCCCTCATCCTCTCCTCCGCCTCTTCCCTCCTCCTCTTCCCTCTCTCCTCTTCCCTCCTCCTCTTCCCTCCTCCTCTTCCCTCCTCCTCTTCCCTCCTCCTCTATTCCCTCTCTCCTCTTCCCTCCTCTCTCCTCTCTTTATAAAAAGGAATCCTTACACCAGATGGTGTGAACCCAGAGCCCTGAAGGAAAGGTCTGAGAGGTCAAATAGAGTTAAGTTAGAGGACATGTGATATTCATTTTAAAGTCCCGAGGGTCATCTGGAGCAGAGACAGACGTTATGAGTAGTACAAACTAACACAATGAATCAGTCAAGTCAACTTTGACATGTTGTTTAGTAGTTGACAAGGTATATGATCAAGCATGCATTTCATATGCCATTCAAAGACATACTATACTATGCAAAAAAAAACATTATAGAAAGTCTTGTTGTCCTGTTTTGTAATCAGTCAGCTTTAAATTCACCTGCTTATTTTTTGAAGACATGCTTTACTGTCAGACAAAGTGCATCATTCATTTAATGGCTGAGGCCCTGTTGTCTTATTTTGTAGATATTCTTCAAGATGGCGGATAGCACAGACCTGGAGCATCTGATGAACTCCTTTAAGAAGTTTGCGATCCACGGAGACACCAAGGCTACAGGGAAGGAGATGAACGGGAAGAACTGGGCCAAGCTGTGTAAGGACTGCAAGATCATCGACGGGAAGAACGTCACCGGCACTGACGTGGATATCGTCTTCACTAAAGTCAAGTGAGTTTCAATAACAACCGCTACAACATAACAACGATGTAATACATTACTCTATTATGATGATGATGATGATGATTATTATTTATGGGCCAATTGCAACCGACATTTGGCCACTATATTATCGGCAGCTGATCTCTCTTAAATCATCTGCGAGTTTGTTTTGTGTGGCCCAGTGCCCCCGGGTGGGGGCGGAGTTTGCACATTTTAGACCATTGCATTGGTCCTTAAGTGAAATCTCCACCCACTCGCGGCACTGGGCCATACAAAATGAACTGGCCCATGATTTAAGACAGATCAGCTGGCGATAATATAGTGGCCAATGTTGGTTGCAATTGGCCCATTATTATGATGATGATGATTATTGTATAATACTTATACTAGTACTGATCATACTTGAGTAAATCCACTTCAGATCAGTGTTGTGGAACGGCTGTTGTTTCTGACTGTAGTAGAGTTTAAATCCACTTCAGAGCAGTGTTGGGGAACGGCTGTTGTTTCTGACTGTAGTAGAGTTTAAATCCACTTCAGATCAGTGTTGTGGAACGGCTGTTGTTTTCTGACGGTGCAGAGCGAAGACGTCTCGGGTGATCACCTACGAGGAATTCCAGAGAGCCCTGGAGGAGCTGGCCCCTAAGAGGTTTAAAGGGCAGAGCAAAGAGGAGGCCCTAACGTCTGTCTACAAGCTGATAGAGGGCAAGGAGCCCACTAACGTAGGAGTCACGGTACGACAGATACTATTACTCCTACTCCTACTACTACTACTACTACTATCTACTCTTATACTTACTACATCTCTCCTACTCTTACTACTACTACTACTACTCATGATCTGCTCCTGTACTATACGTACACTACTCCTGACTCTATACTTACTACTACTACTACTCCTCCTACTATTATCTGCGTCCTACTCCTAGTGACTACTATTATTCTACTACTGCTCGCTACTACTACGTATCTACTACTACGTAATTTACTACTACTACTACTACTCTGCTTACTGTACTAGTACTACTTACTGTACTCCTCTGCTACTGCTACTTATCTACGTACTTAGTACGTGCTGACTTACTGACTACTACTTGATCTTATTACTGCTAGTACTTACGTACTAGTCGTCTAGCTATGACGTATGTAGCTTGCTACTACTACTACTACTGACTTTATGTACTACTACTGCCTACTACTACTATCCTACTACGACTACTAATACGACGATTTACTGCTCCTACTACTTGACTATACTATTCTTTTACTACTGCTACTACTACGACTTATAGACTACTACTTCCTACTACTACTATTATGCTACGACTTATTCTGACACTACTCCGACGACGAACTACTGACTACTAACGAGGACTGCTACTACGACTACTAAGATTAGTGATACGATTACTGACTCACTACACTACTATTAATACTCCTACGATTTACGACTACTACTACTATTACTACTATCTACTACTACCTGCTGACTACTACTACTACTACTACTTACACTACTACTGCCTACTGCTTACTACTACTCCTAGACTGCTACTACTACTACTGACTCCTTTATTACTGTACACATACTACTACTACTACTATTATGCTACTACTACTACTACTACTATTATTACTACTACTACTACTCCTATACTATACTGCTACTACTACTATACTACTATTCTTAACTACAACTGCTACTCCTACTACTATACTACTACTACTACATAGACTATTACTGCTATACTATATTACTACTCTATTACTGCTACTCCTATAGTAATACTACTGCTACTACTCCTACTATACTACTACTGCCTATACTACTACCTACTATTACTACTCTTCACTACTTCCTACTACTATACTATTACACTTTACTACTACTACTACTAATACTACTACTATTTACGCTACTTACTACACTACTACTATTATACTACTTACTGCTACTACTACTACCTCACTACTACTACTATACTATTACTGCTACTTACTACTACTACTACTATTACTGCTACTACTACTACACTACTCTTATTACTAATATGGCTACTTATATACTACTACTACTATACTATATTATTACTACTTTACTACTATTATACTTACTACTACTACTTACACTACTACTACTACTATCCTAACTATTATGGCTTACTACTATACTACTACTAGTATTATACTACTTCTACTACACTACTACTACTACTACACTTACTACTATTACTGCTACTACTACACTTAATTACTACTATTTATACTACTTAGGCTACTAGTTACACTGACGTTACGACTCCTGCTGACTACTTACCTACTATAGCCTACTACTACGTACTGCCTATTAGTCTTACTGCGTGTTTACTTACCTACTACTACTGACTACTTATGACTACTACTGAGCGCTGTACATACGACTAGATACTTATGCTACTACGTATAGCTTACTGCGGAATCTTATTACACTAGTTACACTACTTACTACTACGCTATTATTACGGCGTTACTGAATACTATCTACTATATTATACGATTAATACTACTTGGTTCGGTGTTTTGTTTGTGTTGACTATGGGATTATCTATGTTACTACCAGTACTATACTACGTATACCAATACTACCCACTACTACTATTATTATTACTACTACTACTACTATAATACCAAACAACTACTATTACTACTACTACTACACTACTACTACTACTACTACTACTACTCACATGCACACAAACTGTTTGATAACACCTCTTCAGGAGGCTAGGATGAACTAATCAACTTTCATTATATATCTGTTAGCCAGCTAAATAAACACAGCCTTGTTCTGAATCACAGCTTCAAGTGTGTGGTCAGACCCATTGACATAAATTAATTTGGGATAAGGCCTGGCGAAGTACTCTACTGTCACTTGAGGGTAGATAGGACAGTTGTGGAGGAGGATAGTAGGTACAGAGTGTTTATCAGTCTATTCTGAACTCAAGGAGGTTGTTTAGACGTGCCTGAGTGAATGCAGTGAATGTGCTCAGCTCTCCTCTCCAAACCGTCTCAATGCTCTGTCTCGCTCTGAACCATCTCTCAGCTCTCCTTTCCAAACCGTCTCAATGCTCTGTCTCGCTCTGAACCAACTCTCAGCTCTCCTATCCAAACCGGCTCAATGCATTGTCTCAGCTCTCTATCCAACCATCTTCAAGCTCTCATTTCTATCCAAACCGGCTCAATGCTCTGTCTCGCTCTGAACCAACTCTCAGCTCTCCTATCCAAACCGGCTCAATGCTCTGTCTCGCTCTGAACCAACTCACTCTCATCACATAAGGGCCATAATAAGAGACTGGCTTCATCGGTGAGGTGTGGTGTCTGTGTCTGTGTCTGTGTCTGTGTGTCTGCTGTCTGTGTGTGTCATGTGTGTGTGTAGTGTGGTCTGGTGTGTGGTGTGTGTCTGTGTCGGTGTGTGTGTGTTGTGTCGTGTGTGTGTGTGTTGTGTGGTGGTTGGTGTGTGTCTGTGTGCGCGTGTGTGTGTGTCTGTGTGTGTGTGTGTTTGTGTGTGTCTGTGTGTGTGTGTCTGTGTGGTGGTGTGTGTGTGTTGTGGTGCGTGTGTGTGTGTGTCTGTGTCGGTGGTGTTGTGTGGTGTGTGTGTGGTGTGCGTGGTGTGTGGTCTGTGTCGCGTGTGTGTGTGTCTGTGTGTGTGTGTGTTTGTGTGTGTCTGTGTGTGTGTGTTTGTGTGTGTCTGTGTCGTGTGTGTGTGTGTGTGTGTGTGTGTGTGTGTGTGTGTGTGTTGTGTGTGTGCGTGCGTGTCTTACCTGAGGGTTTTCTCCAACACCATTATTTGTTAATACTGGCAGGCTGTTCTCATGCTGTGAATTGAACATGAGTTCAACCTCTTTATCTAAGAGTGGGTGTTGGCTGTATTATTTAGTTAAGTAATCCCTTTTTTAGGGAACGTTTACATCTAGCTCCGGCTGTTTACTCCTGTGCACTGCACTACATTCAGATTCTAGGGAATTAAGGACTTTTCTAACCCCGACACAGTCGGAGTGGGAAGTTTCCCAGTTTGTCAAGAGAACCTACAGCAGCATTATACCGTTAAAACAGAACTGTACTGGTTCAGCTCACCAACATGACAACGTGGTTCCTTTCACTTTCCGTCCCCCTCCGCAGAAAGTGGCGAAGACGGCCGCAGTGGACAGACTGACGGACACCAGCAAGTACACGGGCTCCCACAAAGAGCGCTTCGACGAGAGTGGGAAGGGGCGGGGCAAAGGGGGGCGGGAGGAGCTGGTGGAGAACACGGGATACGTTGGCTCCTACAAGAACGCCGGAACCTACGAGGAGAAAACCAAGGCCAAGTAGACCACCGGGCTAGGGCCAGGCGCTGTGGTCAACAGGACCACAGCATGGGATGTGTCCCAAATGACCCCCTACTCTAAATAGCGCACTACTCTTGACCAGAGCACTATTGGGTCCTGGTCTAAAGTAGTCCGCTATATAGGGAATAGGGTGCCATTTGAGACTCATCCAGGGTCATTATCCCCCCCCCACCCCACCCCCACAGTCGGGACCAAACCCTGAACCCCGAACTCTGACCTTTGACCCCTAACCACAGGCTTAAACCTAGGCCCTGTTCGACAGAGGCTATCCTCTCTTATCTTTGAGATGTTCTGAGGGTGTGTTGTGGTTGTAATTGGGGATGATGAGGGAGGGAGAGAGCATGTCCTTTACTCGTAGGATGTTGTTATAGTTAGGGAGGTTGAAATGTGTTTCAGTCTAGAGAGGTTGAGGGGATCTCCTAAAGCAGAGACATGATCGATAGAGAGGTTGAGGGGATCTCCTAAAGCAGAGACTGACGATAGAGAGGTTGAGGGATCTCTAAAGCAGAGACTGACCGTATAGAGAGGTTGAGGGGATCTCCTAAAGCAGAGACATGACCGATAGAGAGGTTGAGGGGATCTCCTAAAGCAGAGACATGACCGATAGAGAGGTTGAGGGGATCTCCTAAAGCAGAGACATGACCGATAGAGAGGTTGAGGGGATCTCCTAAAGCAGAGACATGACCGATAGAGAGGTTGAGGGGATTTCCTAAGCAGAGACTGACCGATAGAGAGGTTGGGGATCTCCTAAAGCAGAACATGACCGTAGAGAGTTGAGGGATACCTAAAGCAGAGAATGACCGATAGAGAGGTTGAGGGGATCTCCTAAGCAGAGACATGACCGATTGAGAGGTTGGGGGATCTCCTAAGCAGAGACATGACCGATGAGAGGTTGAGGGATCTCTAAAGCAGATCATGACCGATAGAGAGGTTGAGGGATCTCCTAAGCAGAGACATGACATGAGAGGTTGAGGGGATCTCCTAAAGCGAGACATACCATAGAGAGGTTGGGGGATTCCTAAGCAGAGACATGACCGATGGTTCCGAGGGATTCAAAGCAACATGCATGAAGTGGGATCTCCTGAGGACTGACATTAGAGTTGATTTCTAAGCAGAATTACCTGAGTTGGTTCTTACAGTGAGACATGAACGATCTAGATCAAGTTTCAGGGATCTCACTTAAAGCAAGAATGACGACTAGAGGGTTGACGATTCCTTAAATCATTGACATGGCATGTTCAAGGTTGAGGGGATCTCCTAGTTCAAGACTGTCAATAGAGTTTAGGATCTCTTAAAGCAGTAACGATGATAGAGAGGTGAGGGGGATCTCCTAAAGCCGAGACCTGACCGATAGAGATGGTCTGAGGGGATTTCTCTAAAGCAGGAGGACATGACCGATTAGGTGTTGCGGGGATCTCCCTAAAGCAGAGACTATGACCGGATAGAGAGGTTGAGGGGATCTCCTAAAGCAGGACATGACCTATAGAGAGGTTGAGGGGATCTCCTAAAGCAGAGACATGACCGATAGAGAGGTTGAGGGGATCTCCTAAAGCAGAGACATGACCGATGTGTGTTTCCAGATGACTAGATCAGAACGCTCTGTTCACTGTCACACCTGACCTGGCCTGAGATTGTACATAGACCTGTGATATACAATACCTTTACCTTGCTTTTGTCTTACATGTTGAGTTGCGCTGTGACGTTCTGATGCAAGAGTTACTCTGGAATTTAATTAAACATCCACCCGTAAAGTAAACGTCGCTGAGACCGTGATTAGACAAAAACACATTCTGGTAAAATAATCTGACATTGTGCCATGTTCCAATAGGCTTCCACCATCACGAATGTCCTCTTTTGATTTGAATTGAGTTCACTTTTCTTACAGTATATTTAATCTTTCTTACAGTATAAAAACGTCTCTTAGACTCATAGTTTCAGGGTTCATCTTTAGAACTATAGTTTTAGAACTAGCTTAACTTTTTATTTTGAGGCTATTTCTTAATGCATTGCTCATTGCTTTCAAACGTTTCAATCTATTTTCTCTCTTTTGGTTCTTTGATTTATTGTTTGTTTGGTGTTGCAGAAACTGGACGACGGCTGCATTGAAGGGGAATTTGTTGTATAAAAGTGGTAATAAAATGTTTCTCTTTAGTTTGTGTGGTTTCTTTTATTCCAATTCTGAGTGGAATTATTTACAAATGTCATTACTTAAATATATGATGAGTCAGTGAGCGACTCATAATTTATGAAACCAGGAAGTGTCCAATGGCATGTCCTTTAGCCAAAGGCTTTCTCATGTTTAAACAATAATGTATTCTTCTAATAAACAGGTAACTAGCCTGTGTTAAATTCAATTTAATTTATTGGGGTAAAAACCTATACAACTATATGTACTGTATTCCCAGAGGATAGCACTTTAAAGTATTCATAAAAATACGAGTTTCCAAATCCTTGTCCTTGATGGTAAAAACAAAAAGTGTGTGACTGTGTGGTGTGAAAGCACAACATTTTTAATACACCGACTAAACGAAAGACATCAGACTGAAGTCGCAGACTTTTCTACAGATTCCTTCACTTGAAGAACAAGAATCCCAGCAGACTTTTCTACAGATTCCTTCACTTGAAGAACAAGAATCCCAGATGAATTCTCCAACTCCTCTCTACTCTGATCTGACATTTAAAGGGCCAATCAAGCTGGATCTTTGTTAAAGTCTTTCCTATTGACCAGAGCCCTATTCCCTACTGATGTTCGATCTTAATTTAATTGCTCTTTTGTTGCTAAGATTGGCTTCGTGATTTACATAAATTCACTGAAAACCCACACTAACATGGTTATATTAACAGTATTGCACTTTTCATGTAGCCTACTTTTGTCCAGCTAATAGCCTAACCACCAATCAAGCAACATTATGGACTAAACATTACAATCCTGTTGCTGCGTGATTATTTTGCTGTGACAATACTGGTCAAATTAAGATCCGCCATCTGTACATAGTGCAGTACTTATGACCAGGGCTAGTAGGACCCTATACAGGGAACAGGGTGCCATTTGGCTGACTTGGCTGTAGTCTGGTTGTCCTGCAGTCCTGCAGCCCTCACTACGAACTGGGGCCCCCCCCCCCGCTGGCAGGAGTTACCGTGGTAACAGCAGGAAGGGAATGGGAGAATCAGGTCGTAATGTTTATGTGTCCCGTTCACACAGCACTGCTTCAGTTGCCTCCTCGTCAACGTGACATTTTCACACAGCACTGACACGTCTGGAGCGCACTAAGCTGGTCTGCGTTCCAAACGGCACCCTATTCCATTTATAGTGCACTACTTTTGACCAGGGTCAATAGGGGACTAGGGTGTCAGGGCAGAAGTATCAAGTACACTTAGAATTAGTGCTGACTCGAGGAATCCCTGGAGTTCCTCAACGAACCCCTGCTAGTCAATGGTTCATATTTGCACCTTCGGTTAGCTGAGGGGTTCCTGGAGGAGCGCTGGAGTGGAGGCGTGGCTTAGTAGGGGCGTGGCATTAAGCTATATCTTTTTTTTGGGGCCACCCGTTAGAGTAAATGTCATTCCTGTTCATCTGTTCTGTTGTATTGTGATCACGTGGTTAGTCTGGACACTGACGGTTTTGGTCTCTGGGTTCCTCATAAACATCTGCAAATCCCAAAGTTGGAATGGTTGCCACTTTATTTCTGTATGTAATCAGCAATATTATTATATTAGAAATATGTAATATGCAGAAATATTCAAGGAACATTTTAATTTCAAGTGTACAAACTTAACATGATGAACAGGAATGACATTTACGCCAATGGGTAGTGGTGTTACGTTTGATACCGGAGCTCCCAGGCATGCGTTGAAATCGCTAAGCAAGTTTCCTTCAAAAAAGTGTGCCGATGCTTGTGTCACTTTATCAGAAGCATGTGATCAATGACGTCTGAAGCTTCGTTTTGTCGAACAACCACCTGCTTGGTTTGGTAGAAGACAAAAAGTCTACCCTGCGACGTCATCTATGATCATTCGGCTGTTCTAAATTCACTTTTGACCAGCAGGTGTCACTAATGTACACTGTGTTGATAAAAGCCTCGAGTAACTAACTTATTTTCAACACAATTGGCAGGAAATACTCAATGCTTCAGGAATCGTCGTTTCCCCATCACTACTAAAGCGTGACCAAACATAACTATTTGAAAGCCAATGCCTCCAAACTGATAGGCTGCTACCTCTACAATATATTATTAAAACATTTCTAAATTAAACCCCTCCCATCACAAAAAGGTTCCGGTTTGAACCTTTACACAGAGGGGTTCCTCGAAGACCCTTTTCAGAGGGGTTCCTCAAATAACCTTTTTCAACGGGAAAGATACTCCCAGTGTAGCAACACAAAAGGTTCTTCCAGGCACCTTTACTTCTAAGAGTGTATATAGTATTGAACTATATACAGAATAGGGTGAACGTAGTGAACTATATAGAGGGTGCCAGGGCAGAATTAGTGAACTAGATAGAGGGTATAGTGTGCTGGGGCAGAATAAGTGAACTAGATAGAGGGTATAGTGTGCTGGGGCAGAAGAAGTGAAGGGGCGCGTTTGAGTGGTAAGGAGAAGGCAACCGACTGTAGTCGAAAGTCGAGGAATGAAGTCGGGGGAGGTGCATCTGCAACAGCCTAAAAGTCGGACACTGATGTGGTTTTCCAGCAGCAAGGCTCAGATCAACATGGCAGTGCTGCTATTTCTTTATAATGTTGAAATAAACATGGCTCCAACCCCTGTATCACACATTCACAAACTGAAATCACATGTGTGTACATTGTACAATCAATCAGTGAGAGAAAGCATCAAATATCACATTCATTTGTACATATCCACTACATACATGAATCGCGGCAGGAAGTTGGTTCCTGTTTCAGTCATGTCTTTGGTCACATTTGCGTGGGTCAAACAAAAACACCCTAATGATTGGTTGGCAATAGAACCTCCCACAATGCAGGCGATGGCTGCAGGATGAAGTTGGGGAAGAACAACTGCAGTCAAAACTTCATGACCTTTGATCACATGATTTATGTAAAAGTTCATGCAGTCGACATGTAGGCGCACATTTTTAACCCCATAATGCAACAGACTTTGAAAGGCGGTGACCAACGAT